GTTCATTGAGCAAAAATGTTTTCTCCCTTGGAGAAATCTCCCCATTGGACAACACATCTTTTGTGAAGAGGTCCATTTAAAAAAAAAAAAATCTGTTTCCTGGCTTTTATTTAAACACAAACTGTTTGACATTTTACAATGACCCTGATGAAGGCCACAAGCCGAAACGTGACCAACACGTTTCGGCTTGTGGCCTTCATCAGGGTCAGTTGGTCACTGAATAAAGTTGTTTCTCATTACTTTTGCTTGTGTAGTGTTGCTGGAGTCTCCGCATCAAATTAATTACAATAGTTCAGCCTAGAAGTAATAAATGCATGAAGTAATTTTTCAGCATCACTCTGAGCAAGAATGTTTTTAATTAAAGGGATCTTGCGTAAATGCAAGAAAGCAGTCCTACATATTTGCTTAATATGCACATTGAAGGACATTTCCTGGTCAAAACTTCAAGATTCCTCCCAGTGTTACTGGAGCCCAGGTAATGCCATGCAGAGTAAGAATCTGGTTAGACACCATTTCTAAGATTTCTATCTGAATTTAGAAACAGGAAATTAGAGGTCATCTAGGCCTTTATGTCTTTAAAATTATAGTGAGTGACATATAACCAGTAAGTCTCGGGTAGTCAACCTCTTTTGCAAATGTTAGGAATAAGTTTGGTTTCTACTTGATACTGTCACAGAGCTGCTGCAAAAGCTTCCTGAACTACAGAAGCCCCCTGACCCACCAAAGCCTCCATTCAGAGATCCCCAGGTGAGACTTGGCTTATTAAGTTCAAATGGTAGATGGTATGAAATCCAGTTTACTGTATACCCAGTGTCATCCATGGGAGTTTTTGCTTATCCATAAAATAAATGAAATGTTAGGGGCTTTTGCATGTCTTTTGCTTTCCTTAAATGTAGGGTGTGTTGAAGAGATGTGTAAAACGAAACGAGCCCAGTGTCCTACATTTAAAAGCTCGCGAAGAGATGATTTTTCCAGGTTGGTACACAGAGCCACAGCCATCTAAAAGTCTGGAGCAACGGCGCCATGAAGTTATCGACCTAACTTCTCAGCCATCCTCTAAAGATGCCACTGACCAACAGGTATTAGATGAGAATATGTATGAAAAAAGCCTACTATTAAAATTGCAAGAGCCAACGATCTGAAATCTTCAGCTCCCCATTCTGCCGCTTTTATACATATTTAGCTGCTAGAGTAGTTTTGTAATGCAGTGCTATTAAGCTGGTTCAACAAAATATTTTATGTGATTATAGGTACTGCTGTCAGTTTTTGTTTTCCCTTTTATACTATTTTTTTTATTACATGTTGGTTGTAGTTCATTCAGTTTTTTATGAAACAATGCCATTGAGTGACATGGAGGCGAAATCATCAGATTTCTGTCTTTTTGCTAAAGGTTTTGTTGTTTTGGTTTTTTTACTCATCCTTTCAACCCTGAACCATGAAGTAATTGACAAAATTAAATCAAATGTTTTTTCTTAATTGCATATAGTTTGCATGTATGAGCTTTAATTTGTATCATATTTGCTACACCGGCATTTGTGGCAATTTGTTGCTTAATACTGTGTTGTACAATTTATTTAATTTGGTTTGTTTGGGTTTTTTTAGAAGGTGCATCTTACAGTGGTAATGTAAACGTCTCAAAACTATCAAATATTCACCTAGATTAAGGGTTTAAGTTTAAGGGATTCATTCTGCCTGGTTTCTAGGCTAAAACTGTATCCAACTATGCATTGCTTCACTTTTTGGAATTGCATTGTCTGCACAAGGGGCCACAGGCTTAGCTCAGTGGGTGAACAGGTGACCATATTCCACATAGCCAGAGTTTAGTGGCGCAAGAACAAGTCCAACCATTGGGCCTTTGATGGGTGTCTTCGCCCTCTGTCTCCCCACGTTCCTGTCCCCCAGTTTGTTTTCACTGCTGAGCTATCCAATAAAGGCATAAACATGCCCTATTTTATGAAATCATGTGAATGCAATAACTGAAAAGGAAGTCACTGAGGATGTATGTCATAGCTGCATCTACTAGGAGGCTGAGGGGTTATTCTGGTGGCTGCCAGTGTTTATATATTTAACAGTACACGCTTTGAGTTTTTTTTTAATCAAATCCAGATGAAATATTAACACTCATTCTTCTACATTTTTGTGTGCAAACTTTGGCTTTCACCAGTTCTGCACTTTGAAATGCTTTAGTATATTTCAACAGCTTCAACATGTTCCTTAAATAATTCAATAATTACAGCAGTTCAACTCAAACCATTCAGCTTTCAGCATTCACACTGCATTTTCTTTAGGAAGTTAGTAAAGCTATGGTTATAAATCTTTTCACATCCATAAAAGAATCAAACTGTTATGAGCTTATGCAGTTTTTTGCTTACTTGCTTTAATGTAGGTTGTGCCAAAGAGACTTGTGAGACCTAAGAAACCGAGTCTCCAACACTTAAAAGCCTCTGAGCAGTCATCCACACCAAAAGATCTGAAACAAAGGCACCATGAAGCTGTCCACCTACCTCCTCTGCCATCCACTAAAAATGTCCAACAGGTATGAGAAGTCAATAGGTATGATTTTAAAAAAGCTTGCCCTTTAAAATATTGTGTGACCAGTCCTTGTCTGATGTCGCAAGCATTGCACACACAGTACAGAAAGTACTCTAGTCTAGTATTTATAAGTTAAAGTTAGTTAAAGTAAATACTGTGTCATAAAAGAGGTCCCTTGACATATTCAGGCAGCTTGATAATGTAGCGGTAACACTACACACCTTTGGAGTGGGAGTCGGAAGTTTGATTCCCACCCAGTATCCATTAAGTAAGGGTCCTGGTTAGACCCCCCATGCTAAAAACCAAGCCCTGGAATGGTGTGGCTACTTCTGCAGCCTGTCAGCAGCTCAGACGCGAAACATTTCACTGCGTATCGTACTCTGTATGATTGTGTATGTGACAAATAAAGCTTGTTTGAGGAATTTGTAATCATGGTAGCATATTTTACATTAAAAAGCAATATAGTGCTGTAGTACATCAGTAAACAATATCTATAGTGTACAGTGAATAGGTAGTTCCAAAATATGTCTAAAGCAATTTTCTGTCATAATTGCCACTATAACTGGAAAACTTAACTTCTCTCTTCTTTCCTCAGCCCTTAAAGGGTGTGATGTCAACCCCCCCTCTCCCAAGGCTTCCCATTAAGAGTTATATACAGCGGGACTATACTTCCAAATCTCAACTTAATGAGTACCACAGTACTGACTTTGTTTTGACTGACAGTCAAACTGTGATTTCGGAGTCTGATGGTGATGATGCAGGATTGCTAATTGTGAAGCGCTGGGAAAAGAACGTATGCAAGCTGCGATGCATCCCCTTCTTTGCACGCTACAGACTATGGAAACCTTTCTATGTCTGGCACAGAAATGTTCGTGCCAACAAGATGACTTTGGCCAGGGAGTCACTACAAAAAAATTTGTTTATTGTCATCCCGGTATGTGCATGTACAAACTGAGGTCTGTTTTTAGTGATCTCTAAATATTTTCAGAGAGAGAAAGTCTTTGAATTATACAGATTTTAATAAGAGTGTGGTTCTTTTATCATGTTCTTTACATTTGTCTATGTTAATCAGAATCTAAGTCCTGCACTGATGGATATTAGGAAAATGTGCTGCCAACTTATTGAAACGGGCTTCTGTCACGTGAAGAAAAAGTATGCATACACACTGCAGGAATTCCAGGACAGTAAGATCAAACAACTACAAGAGGTGCAGTTGTATAAGAACTTTTCATATATATATGTGTATGTGTATGTATATACTGATATTGTCTGTTTCATTACATTGGTTATAAGGTTATTATTACATTATTGCTTTCTTTCTTATTATCAGGCATACAGCGACCTGAAGGGGTTTCATGAACTAGTAAAGGAGGAGACAGTTTATACCTGTGGCCGCTACTTGATGGATGCTAAAGCTCGTGTTGGTGCGTACATGATGTGGATACTGTTTAAGACACATGCTGGTGGCCACGAACTAATTGCCACTGTGGCTATATAAGCCACATAGGTTAACCTTGGCTTGAAGACCTTTCTGAGCAGGTTGGAACTGGAGAGATAGTCTCTTCACTCTGAGAATCTGGGTTACAATGTAACCAACTGTTCTCTTTCATCTCTCTGTCTTACATATTTCATATGTAAGAGTCCATATGAACTCCATGTGTCCATAGGCTTATATGGACTCTGTATAATTCAAAGACTTCCTTCAGTGGACTCTGTAAGACACCATGAGGAAACCAAGCATATGCAGCTGTTCAGGCAGTTCAGGCATTAGGCTAGACCCCTGCTAGCCGCATGGGCACGGTCTGGTCAGTACTGTGGTACTGTACACTATAGATATTGTTTACTTACCATGGCCACCCTCTATAGGCATATTTATTCCACAACTTAAATAGGTGTCGTCCACTGGGCTAGCCATATTCTGTCTGGGAAATGTGCTGGAGTAATTTGGGTAACAATCACACGTCATATACATGTTATACAGGTTCTAAAAACTATGGGTGTGATGCAGTTTTCTGTTGCTGCGACTGTTGAAATGTGACTCTGAGAGTCAGGTAGCAATTGCCAACAGCACAATGTTTTTTGTAACTGTCTGGTGAGTTGGGTAGGATGAATGAAAGCAGCCTGACTTTTCCTCTGACTGGCCAGATTTCACGTGGCAAAAATGGCTACGACAGCAGGTTGGTGAAGCACCCAAGCTTTTCACTAGTTTGTGTAGGGGGAGACAACAGCCATCTCTGAAGAGGTCGGGGTGACCAGCTCTCTTCTTACAATTTAAGCAGACATGCTGATGTTACGCACACTACACGCATTATAGGTACTTAAAGAGTATCCATGCTGCGCTGTGGGGATGTAGGTTGCAGAGATAGTCTTGACACAATAGAGAAAGTTGATTTGTATATCCAGATGTAGATCACAAAGTTCAAAGCCTGTTCATGCTCGGTTTGTCACAGAACAAGAAAAGAAGATCGCATCAGGGACCAACATGTCTTTTTTCTTCAACCACGTCATCCAGTGGGTGCATTTTATTTCTGTCTTTGCTTCCCAAAATGTAATATGTTTTCTGTATTGATTTGTATATTAAGCATACTGTACTTTTTTGTTTTAATAACAAAACACTCACACAAGTAAATAAGCAAAATGGCAAAAACACAGAACAGATAATCATGGCTCAAGCACATCTGTCACACTAACGATGTCTTTGTTTCTTACCTGCCCAGCTTTGTTCGACTTGTTGACTATTTGGTTATCACCACCTTGCACAGCTGTGCAGTGAATGCAGTGGATGAAATACTGACTCTCCTGCAAGTGCAGGCAGGTCCAACACCCAGCAATGCCATCATTCAAAGCTGGACCCTTGACTCAGACGCTGCCACTGACTGTACTGAAAAAGAGATGGATGAAAAGGTAGGGGAGTTATTCAGTACAAGTAACTGTAAAAATATTGCATTTATTTTTGTAGCCATGAGAAATCGAGATGTCAAGAGAACACATTCTTGTTTATGCCAATATATGTATCTTCATCAGACTATTGAGTCAGAAGCTCCTCAATTCCATCCTGTATTCATGTCTGAGTTGATCCTGGACACAAACAGCTTGACTTATAAACCCTCTGAAGAGAACTTCTGGGTATGATTAGTTTTTACACTGTATAGTTTTTTGTTTCTAATCAGAAAATACCCATCAACATTATGTTTCTATTTCCTACAGGAGACTGTTGCAGATTTTATCAAGCATTTTGAGAACATGGTGACGTCAGTTAAGGATCTTACTAAAGATCCTATTTTTAATTCAGTGATTGAACCTCAAAGGGGTGAGGTTAGTGACGTTTTTCAATCTATTTCAACATATTTTCAACCTGCCTCATATTTATACTTAAAATTGTCAGATTTTTTGATATGATTGAAGTATTATGGTTATGTTGAATTCTAATTTGCAATTAATATGGGATTTTATTTGAATGTTTTATATGTTTCTGGAAGGTGGTAAATAAATATGAAAATGCACCCTCTTTGAAAGTTATCCTAAACAATGACGTCTACCTGCAAAGTTTAAAGCAAAGCATCCAGGTCAGTGTTTTTACTGTGTTGTTTTCCTACGGTCTCATGGCGTCCTGATAGCTTTGAACTGAGCTGCTGTATTTTTCTCCTTCAGAGGTCATTCCAGATTGTATTTGCTGCTGCAAACGTGTACTCACACATGTTTGAGCACTTTCTGAGAATCTACAAGGAGAATGAAAGTTTGGATCTGGATGCACTGCAGGGACAGGATCAAGGTAATGTGCAGTACATCAGCATCAACACTGTTAGAGCTTTCTGTAAATTTCTGTGTTTTTTCTCTTTGTTTTGAAAAGATAAAGGTTTTATTTGCCAGATAGTTGGACACTTAAAAACAGCACATTCATGTGTTGTCACTGGGTGTATCGTTGAAATATGACAAATGTCCTCCCTCATAATATGCTTTTTAATATTTATTTAACTTTTGCATTGGTCCTTTCGGTCCTTTCTTGGCCTGCTGCTTTTCTTTAATGCGTTTTTTTGTTATGGAAATGTTTTATAGTTTACTGCCCAGACAGGATCCATATGACTCAGTGTGATTTCAATTGTGTCCTTACAAAACATATTTCATTTTGTCTTTTAATACTTCAAGCTGTCACCAAATTCACATACCTTCAGAGACCATTACATATTATTATTTCTACTCCATTAAGAAAATTATTATTCTCTTCTTGTAGCCAGCAGTCAGTTTGCAGCAATATTTTGTTTTAGCATATTCATTCCACTCTCTGTTGAAGCCTCTATATCTTAGATCATAGCTTGGATCATAGATCCCACAGTTTGATTGTTCTCAGCAAATTAAATTGTTCTTTACAAGTTTGGCAGAGTCTACAAGTAAAAGTCAGTGTACGTAATGATATGGATATGACATGGAATCTTTCTTATCACTGTAGGTTTAGGTAACATTACAGGGTCAATCAATTGTTGTAGCCTATACTATATTGATTTTTTAAAACATTTTTTTCATTCTTAGTTTGATGGTTGTTATGTTTATTTTAGAACACCTTACATTATAAATGCTTTTAATATTCTTGGGAAAACGTTCGGTCTAAAAAAGCAAAATGGGGATATTGGACATGTTTCTGAATAGGAGAAAATAAAATAAAGTCACGAAGAATAATAAGTTAATAAGTTTTACTTGTTAACTTATTGTTCTTGTGGTTTGTTTACAAAAAGCAAAGAAACCACAAGATACATGTTATTTCCTTTTTTGCTGATAATTCTTGATTTTATCTCACAGATTTATCCTTCTTTCAAAAAGCGCTCAAGTTATACCCCACACAGCAAAAGGAAGCCGCGGGTATTCAGCAGAGGACACATCTCGGTTTACTGGTTGTGGACAAAGGACAGCTCAAAGAGAAGCTTGTGTCATCTTCCCTCCGAAATCTGGAGGTTAGGATTAGCCTATCTGCACATGCATGCAATACACTCAATAAGTTAGTCCACTAAAATGTATTTTTTTTCCCATTATTATTTTGTTTTTTGTTTTTCATCTAAATTTTACTCTTGATTGTTTTGGAAACATTTGGAAATGTTTTTGACCATAAAATGTGATTTAAGGTCATCAATCACATGCTCACCCAACTCGCTAAGAGGAAAGTAGACGCCATAGTGACGGAAGTTTGTGAGGCTGAAGTTAAACTAGGTTTCAGTCCTTCTACTACAGCTCAGCTGGCTGACTTTCTCACATTTGTGGATGAGATTCAGGAGAGGGTGAGACGCTCCTGTTTAATAATTAAATCCGATAAACCAATAAAACAGCAGCTTGTTTTCTTTTTCCTCAGCTTCCTTTCTCTGCTTTACTTGACTCCATATTTCCATTTTTTGTTTTGCTAGATTATAGAAATAAAAGAAGAGCAGAAATCAGTATCCAAAATGTACGTTCTGATCAACATGTACTCAGTTCCCACACCACCAGAAGATCTTGTGAAGTTTGCCGCACTGGAACCCTTTATTGAGTCGTTAAGCTCTGTCATGCTAAAGGCAGTGCTACAGCGGAATGGTACTATGGAAAGGTTTTGCAGCTGCTTGCAGAAGGATATAAAGGAAATCAAACAGGAGGACATGAAAATCCAGCTTAAATTGCAGGTATAAAAAGATGATGACTTTGTTTTTAATTTTGTTGTTATTTTTCTTTTTAATAATGCTAACTAATGGACAATTTAAAAAAACGAAATACATTTGGTATAATTAAAAACTTGTGGATTTCAATGTGTAGGATCCACAAATTCTAGACATCAATGCTGATTCATCACAAGTGCATCTGCTGTTGAGGGAGATCAAGATTTCCATAGAAAAGCTACAGGCCAAAGCATCCTCCTGCATAGCCTACCAGAAGAAATTCAAGGTATTTCTTCTTTCAATGTAAACATATTTCATAGAAATTAGATCAGGCCATAACAGTTTCAATGTGTGCTAAAAAAAAAGTTGTTACTTTAATTTTGTAAGCCAAACTTCTGACCACCTGAAAACAACTTACTCTCCCATTCTCTGTTTTTAATTAATAAAGATGGAGGTGACCAAATTTGAGTCACTGGAGCAGCTGACGGCAATGTTCAAGCTAAAGCAGTTGCTCTGGACCTCTCTGGAGCAATGGGACCCTTTACAGAACGGATGGCAGCAGGTGAGGTGCAAACGTTTAATTCTATATCTACAGCACTGAAAGTAATTCTTTCACCACCTGCTCAATTTGTGAGTGGGCGCAGGGAGGTTTGGGGTCTTCACTCACCTCGGTTCTGTTAGCCGTCAGGGCTGGGGGGCTGGGAGGAGGTGCTGGCCGTCAGATTGGGGTCTGGGATGCGGGGCCTCCCTGCTACTGCAGATAAGGAGGTGGTCCGCTTGCCTCCACCCCAGAGAGAAGGGTTACATCTCCTGGGTCTAGGTGCGGCTTGCCCCTCTGAGGGCGGGGGTACCTGGACCTGGGATATAGAGTATGTTTGGGGAGTGCGACTATCTGTGCAGTGTCTATTTGTGTCTGTCTACATGTTGGGTGAGTGCCGAGTATTTGGTTGTGCATATGGGGTGGGAATGCACGTCTGTGTCCGCGTACGCCTGTTCGTCTGTGTCTATATGTCAGGTTGGGTCTTAGACTCAACCTCTCTGGGTACATCTCAGGCCCTCTAAAGTACGGAGGCCTATCTCCCCTCACCACACTCCCTGCCGGTGGCTGATGCCCTCAGACGTTGGTGTGTTGGTGGTCCTTGTCGTCTGGGGCTGGGCGCTCATGTATGTACCGGCTCACTCCTGGTGGCCGATTGACGGGGCCTGGCGCCTGTGGCCCGGCTGGGCCCCTTCCGGGGGATGGGATGCCCTCAGGCCTCTGGCCTCTGGGCCTGAAGCTCGGTCCTCTCTGGCACAGCTGGCTGCCGGCAGAGCCCACGGGCACGCCACCGCAACCCCCTCTGGCCTCTGCTCCGTACCCTCATACCCTGGAAGACGGGGCTGTGGCTCCCCACACTCCCTAGCAGATCGTTACATGGAGAAACCTTTGGAATACAAGCATGCTGATCCACACAGGTGTGCACACAGGTGTTCACAGACGCGGACTACACATTTCTTGGCTGCTGCCTCAAAGCACATTGTGCGCTGTCTATCTTGCGTGCTGCACAATATCGTTTAATATTTAGTATCTACTGTTATCTACTGCTAGCTAGTTTGTTGTGATGGTGCTGTTTTTTATTATGTTGCTCTTTTTTTGTTTGCTTTCTCTTCTGTTTTTTTTCTCCATACAGGTGATCCAGGTGTTTTGTTTGTTTTTCTTTCTTTCTCTCCCTCTCTTTCTTTCATTCTCTCTCCCTGTCCTATCCCCCAGTCATGTCTGTCCCATTTGTAGCAACCGAAAATAAAATAAATACATAATTATAATAAAGGTCAATCAAATGGACCAATATGGCAAGGCCCTGATGATCCACTTGGTAAAATAAATCCGCTTGGCATCTTTCTTGGCCTTAAGACAACAATTCTGATGGCTAAAGATCCAAACGGGACACAAAAAAGGAAAAAGAAAAGAAAAAAAAAAGAAATGTCTGCAGTCTGAATGTCTGAACATACACTCACAAATACAAATGTTAAAAATGTGGAGCTGCTTTAAACCATTTTCGTGTCACTATATAATGAAATAAAAGCTGTCTGTATTTGACAAATATTACCCTGTTACCAGGATGACAGACAGCTAGTATGAACCCACAGAGAACGTGACTTTTTGGAATTGAAATGAAAGTACTTTGACCCACCCACAGCTGAGCCGTGTCATAGAGGCCACTCTGTGTGTGAGTTTGTGTGTGTCAGTCCTTCATGTCAGCATTCATCAGTTTGTTTGTGACTGGCAGAAACTTTGATGGCAGCAGCACAGTTGACCATGAGTGGTGTCACAACTACCAAAGGCTTAGTTGTGATTTTGACTCTGATGTGTCTGCTCCATCTTTCAAGTGCACTGATAAACAAGGACAAACTGGAGGAGCTGAAGGGAAATGTTGAAACATCACAAAAGGAAACAGCGAGAAGGAAGGCTGAAAATAATTTAGACAGAGCCTATGTTCCAGCTATCTTTGATGATTTTGGACGTCTCATGGATCCTTTGTGTGAAGTTATGAAGCCATTGTTGCTTTCTACATCACTGCTTAGACCAGTGTTGGATGCAATGGATGACCTAAAGACTTGTGATGGCAACACTAACACAACTAGAAAATAATAAAGATGAAATGTAGCATGTTAGTCAGCGTCTGTCTCTGGTATTAAATGTTCTGTATCTGTAAACCTTCTCTTTCATACTGTGCTGCCTCAAAATCAAAGCTAACTGTACACTTGACTTATAAACTTTGACAAGAAAAAAAAACATCTAAATGATTCAGAGAAGACTTTGAAGAAATTGCTGTGGTTGGATAAAAGTAATATCAAGCTGGGACAGGGCCCTATACACAAAATCTTGGGAATTTAGTCCCCTCAGCCAGAACACTGAAGAACACTGTGGATGGATCTTCCAGCATGACAATGACCCTAACATACCACCAAGGCAACAATGGAGCGGCTAAATAGGAAGCACATTAATGTTATTGAATGGCCAATTCAGTCTGTTGACCTGAATCCCGATAGAAAAATCTATGGAAGGAACAGCCATGCGACTGTTAAGATAGCTCTAAATCTTTTAGGATTAGAGAGTTTTCCATTAAAGAGAAGTGGGCCAAAATCCCTCCTGTGTGCAAACCTGGTGATAAATTACGAGAAAAATCTTACCGCTGTGCTTACCAGCAAAGGTTTCTCTGTAAAGTACAAAGTCATGTTTTTCTTTGGGAACAAATACTTTCACTTAATGATTTCAATTAATTACATGCAAAATAATTTATAACTTTTATGCACTGTTTATTTATATGGATATTTAGATGATATTCCGTCTCTCTCCATGAAAACAAGACACTGTTCATTTCTTTGTAAGTGAGCCAAGTTACAAATTTAGCAGGGGATTAAATGATTATTTCCTCCACTGTATTGCAAGTCTGTCCATGCATACACTATAAAGTACAGTTTATAAATGAATGCCATTAGCTCTACTGTGTTCTTTCATTTTATCCATCACTAGAGCACGCTTCAACAACTGGACATGGAGCAGTTTAGCTCACAAGTCAACAAATACAACAAGTACGTCAACCAGCTTGAGAAGGGTCTGCCACGTAACAATATAGTTCCCTGTCTGAAGAACAAGGTGGACGTGATGATGCACAGAGTGGGTAGAAAAAAGTGTTATGAAATATCTCATATTTTTTGTTTCATAGATAATGTTGCCAGCAGCCTCTTTATAAAATCATACCACATTAAAATATGGGCTGAAAGTAATAGACTGTTTTTGTGACTGCCCAAGTGGTATTTATGTGTTCTTTTTTTTAGCTGCCTGTGATCACTGATCTTCGTAACCCATGTCTGAAACCGGAACATTGGAAGACTTTGGAGTCTTTGGTGGGGACTTCCCTCAATGTGGATGAACTTACCGTAGCTGGTTTAGAGGAGCTCAGTGTTTTCTCATATGGCAAGGAGATTCAGGAGGTAAAATGTATATAATATGAGATTTGCTTGTTCTGCTTAGGAGACTCTGGGTACTACTGAGTACACAACACATCCTAATACCTAATAAAAGTTACAGATTGATTAGAGATCCCAAATTTATCAGCTCATCATTAAATTGCAACTATAGTTATGGCAAACTCCTTAGGAACTGACACAAATATTAACTTTTAGGTTTCAGGACAAGCTTCAGGTGAGGCATCAGTGGAGACCATTATCACAAAGGTATGTGGGTTAAATATAACTATTTATACAGATATTACATCTCATTAAAAGTACTAAATTAGAAGTTACATTTACATATCTCTCTATTTAATATACTATCCCCACATTTTATACCCAAATATGAGTAAAAGCCACTCAAATGTTACTTGATTTCAGAGAAAAAATGCTAATCTATTAGTGTAAAAGGGAAGAAACAGTTAGCTACGTTTGCATAACCAATTAACAAGACAAGATACGACACGTTACATGGCTATAACTATAATAGCATAAGAGGTCTAATGCAGCAGATGTTTCCACCATAGACAGGTTAACTGTTTTGGCTGCAGTGACAGATTTAGCACACTACTCAACACAATATCTACGCTCCTTTTGGAAATTCACGTTTATGGGAGAATAAAGATGCATGCAAAACGATATTTAAGAAATTCCATGTGTTACTGCGTGTTGATGAAGCACTCCTAATGGGTCTTGCAGGTGGAGGATTTGTGGAAGAACACAGAGTTTACTGTGCTGTCCCATGGTGACACTAAGGATGTCTTTATCTTGGGAGGCACGGATGATATCCAGGTTGTGATGAGTTGCACTTTCATGCAGTCTATTGTAAAACATCACCAGTGTTTCAGTATCTCTAAATGTTTATGTTTCATCCCTCTGTGTTTATTTATGTGTGAAGGTACTCCTGGATGACAGCATTATCAGTGTGGGCGCAGTGGCATCCTCACGCTATGTAGCTCCCATCAACGGGAGGGTCAAGAAATTGCTGACACAGCTGATCCTTTTTAACCAAACATTGGTAAAGTCTTTTAAAATAGTTTATTTCTAAGTGAAACTGGTTCAGCTGTAATAAAGGTTTGCTTTCTTAAATGCAGATCCAGTTTCATTCACATTGGCTTTCCTCAGTGGCTATAGAAAAGAAAACACAATACTTGCAAAATATATGATTTTTCAAAGTTTACTGAGTTCAGTAGATGGTTTAAGGGAACATTGTTGAGTTTTTTGTCTTTTTCATTAATTCCTATGCATTTTATATACTCTGTCTGCTCACTGTGTTTCTTTTTTTCCTTTCTAGGAGGAGTGGCTTACATGTCAAAGGAACTGGTTATACCTAGAAAGTATCTTTTTGGCTCCAGACATAAAAAGACAGCTGCCTGCTGAGTCAGAAATGTTTCTTAAAGTTGACAAGTCCTGGGAAGAGATCATGGCTAAAGTTAACTGGATGCCCAATGCTTTTGATGCAGCCACACAGACTGGTATGTGACTGTAAATGATTCATGACAGATGGGACTGTGTTTCAGCGGTTTTCAGCATTCTTTATTTTCATGGTTGCTGGTTTACACACACGGCTGTAGCTTTGCAGCTCACAGCTGAACACATCACCCACAACAACAACAAAAGACAGACAGGACCCAGTTCAGACTTTAAGCCGGCGAGGCACAGTGACCAAACACGATGCATTAAAACAGCATTGTAGGGATGTTAATGCTGAAAGACGAAGGCAGAATTACTGTACATGCAAATACATGCATTCATGAAGGCGACTATGCTGACACACTGCATACAAGCCTGTTGTTTTATCCCAAAAGGTCTGTTGGAGACTTTGCAGCAGAACAATGCTCTTTTGGATGAGATACAGAAGTGTCTGGAAGCTTACCTGGAGTCCAAGAGAGTCATCTTCCCAAGGTACTATGTACACATGATTTGTTTGTTTGTTACATGATAGAAAAGCAGGCCTGTACACTGTATTGCAGCTAGAAGCCTCAGATAAGAGTAGAAAAACAATGCTGTCAACACCAGACACCAGCAACTAGTATCTTCAGTTCCCAGACATCCCAGTTAAAATCAGATGGGATGCTACACAGTCATAAACACGGCCCTGTCCTCATTTTTTTTAAAAATTTGTTGTGACATTTGATGTTTTCTGTTGTGTGAATAAAATATGGTTGTATGTGATTTTAAAACCCCTTATTCCACCACACCAAGTATATCATATTTGATATGCAAGTTTTGTGCATTCTTTGAGTTTTTGAGACTTCTACAACAACAGTGTAAATTCTGAATTTACACACATTTTGAATGGACTGTTTTAAACTTCACTTTGCTTGATCTTCATAAAAATCTCATGCTGCCGATTGATTCATAAAAATCAATCGGCAGCATGTTTAATTTTTAAATGTAATTAAAGATGCGGAGTTTGAAAGATTCTTTGTGGATGCCGCGGTAATCTGGGTTCACCAAAAGTACATTTTGAAAGCAACAATTTTCATGTTTAGTCTATCGACATCTGATTGAAGATCATGGCAATGTAATATTCTTTTCCTTCCTTTAGATATGTTTCATAGACAATCTGATCTCTTAATGTCTAATTATTCATATTTTACATTTTTTGTTTTTAGAAAATGACAAACATTATTGTTAGATTGTTTGCATGCTGTGCTATGTACCTTTTGTCTGTGACTTACAGGTTTTACTTCTTATCCAATGATGAACTGCTAAAGATTCTTGCTCAGACACGTAACCCTCAGGCAGTGCAGCCTCACCTCAGGAAGTGTTTTGATGCCATCACTCGACTGGAGTTTGCTTTATTGCCTGAAGAACCTTCTGGTGCTCCAGAAATGTTGGATGATGGAGAGCAGAAGACCATATATAGCACAGACATCCTGAATATGGTGTCCCCTGAGGGAGAAAAGGTCAGGCTTGAGGAACCTTCAGTCATCTGGTCATTATTGTCTGTGTTTAATTCTGCATGTTATTCTCTCTTTAGGTCTTAGTTATAAAGTAGAAAAACTTTCTGATGTTTTTTACTCATTTGGCAGGTTAGAATTCCTAAATTGAACCAGTCATTGAGATACAAGTAAGATATGATTCTTAGGTAGCCAGTCATTTGAAAGCAAGAAGCTCACATGCACAAAATCTAAGAGAACAGTCTTAAAGAATAATATTATATCCTAATCACAAAGTATATGTAATTTTTAATGCAAGTGTGGATTTTATAGTTTGAGCTCTCTTTAATAAATACTCTCTTTAATAAATACTCTCTTTAATAAATACTACTTCTCTCTCACTTGGCAACCATCTTAGTATAGTAAGAACTATCTCAAGTGCAAGGACTTAGCAAGTACCAATTAAGGCATAAAAGGGACATCCCAAGTCTTAGTTTGCACCCAAAACTAGAAACATAATAAGACATGAAAGGTGATGTTATCATGGACATTTGTTTTACAAGAATTCTTTTGTTGACATCTGTTTGCTGCTCTGGGTTTTCTTATTCACATGAAAAACTCCAGTCTTTGCTCAGGTGTCAATTACAAAATAGTATAACAAGCACAAGAGGTGTAATCAAATCCTCAACCCTAACTGATTCTGTGGTTCTGTGCTCGAAGGTGGGTTTGGCTAAAGGTCTGAAAGCACAGGGAAATGTGGAAGACTGGCTTTGCAAAGTGGAGGAGGCTATGTTCTCCTCACTGCGACAGCTCAGCAAGGCTGCCATTGTAGACTACCAGAAGAAGTCTAGAGAGGAATGGGTGGTGGCTGGACACCCGTCACAGGTACACAAATACACACACACACACATACACACACACACACACACACACACACACACACACACACACACACACACACACACGTGTGTGTTAAAGGAAAGTTGGGTGCTAGAGCCTTTTAGACTTTTGAAGGAGCACAGGTGCATGCCATCCTGTGTATAGTCACTTATTAGATTGGCACTGGAACAGATCAGGAAATCATTTCATGTAGTTACTACTAAATTCCATTTTATAGGTATATTAACAATTAGCACTGCATAACTGTTTATGAGTCAACCAGACTCTTGCTGTCATATCTAAAGCTTTCATAGGTTTCTCAATTTATTTATATACTTTTTTGATACTTTTTGCTCAGTTTTTGTTTATAAAAGATCTAACTTCACTTTGTCTTTATGCCCACCAGGTGGTGCTGACCATATCACAGCTGATGTGGTGCAGGGACATGGATGCGTGCCTGGAGGGAGACCATGACCATTTTGCTGCCTTGCAGAAATTTGAAGGCACCAACTTTGAAGTAAATCACAGTACAGATTCTTTTACTGCTTCTTTAATTCTGTGGTTACATTTTAACCTCATCAAACAAACCTGGACTTTTTTTGCTCTTTAATTTCAACGTTATAACCCAAGGATGCTTGCTTGATTATGTTTCTGTGCACTCCAGAGACTGAATGCCCTAGCAGCATTGGTACGAGGACAGCTCCCTGCTTTACATCGTAATATCATCACAGCCCTCATCACCATTGATGTTCACGCTAGAGACATAGTCACCGATCTAGTTCGACAAAAGGTACAACAGTGTAGTGTTAGCGGGACACTGACTATAGTTACCTGATTTTTCCTGCGATCAGTGTTATAAAAACAAAAACAAGTTAGTAACAAGTCACCACCTTCAACTGACTTAAGGTTTTCTTCAGGTTGACAACAGGTCCAGCTTTGAATGGCAGAGACAGCTGCGCTACTACTGGGACATGGACCTTAATAACTGTGTAGCCACAATGGCACTGTCCACTTACATTTATGGCTATGAATATCTGGGAGCTTGTCCTAGGCTGGTCATCACACCACTCACGGTAATGGAGAATATAAAACTACATTCACACAAATGTAGAGTTCCAGTTGTAAGTATATTTAGACTGTTCTTCAATTTTGTGTGATACTTAAATAAAAAATGTCTAAGAATTCAATTTTAATTTTATTTAGCGCCAATTCACAACAACAGTCACCTCAATGTGTTGTAAGGTAAAAGTAAGACCCTATGATTTTATAAAGGAAACAATCAGATGACCCCTTTTAGCAAGC